GCAGCCAGTCTGGTATTGTTGTTCAAGTATCTCCAAAAGAAATATGGCTTGCACCGTAACCTAATATGTAAGGTCATCATACATATTTTGCTTGATGTCAGCAATAGGCATGATAACATACAAAGTTTGATTGAAAATGCCCTATTCAATTTTGAACCGAATCAGGCCATATCGCCCTGTTCAGCTCCAAGAAACAGTTCCGGACATGTTACAGAATGTGATTTTACATTTTTTTGACAAAATGACCACCATTTTGACAAATTTGATCAAATATCAAAACAAAATATAGTGTTGTGTTGTCTTGTAGTACCTATGTACAAACTTTGAACTAAATCAGGCCATATTTTATTGAGGAATCAGCACAAAAACGAAAACAAAACAAAATGGCCACCAGTCGGCCATTTTGAACCGAATCTTGAAAAGAGTGACGTGTACCTATAACCCAATATGCATAATCACCATACAAAGGTTGATTGAAATCACCCTGTTCAGCTCTACGTTTAAATATCAGAATTTATTTTTTTGTTTCCAGAATACTACTACTGAATCCTCAATTAGAGGTCCAGCTCCGCTTCCAATAAAAATGTTTCACTTAATGTAGTTTATCTAATATGATTGTTATTGTACTTAAAACAACATAAGCTGAAACAATTGAGTTTTTCCTGTAATTTTTATTTTTAATAAAACATTTCCACATGAGTGCGAAGTACCCGTTTTAAAAGGTGTAAAAATCGAAGTGATGCTTTTTAAAAACTGTAAAAAAAACGAAGTGAAAATCTTATAAAAATTGTAAAAGTGACCTGTTTGAGTTATAGAAAGTGAATATCGATGTGATTATTTTATAAAATTTGGAAACTGAAGTGAATTTCTTATAAATATGGAAGCGAGACAAATATCATACATGGCATACATTGCCGAACATCGCCGGCTTCGCCGATTCTTGCGCAACAGAATCTGGCTTGGTAATAAAAGGGACTAAAAGCGTAATATGTTACCCCCATTTTTATTCGCTTGTCAAATGACGGTCAAGTACCCTACACCAATCAGAATGCATGTAATGAAGATATCTAGCTTTGTCGTCTATCGCGATTGCGCATGTTTGTTAACGACTTAAAACGGAACAATTTTGCAGACGAGCTGGTCATCGGAACGACTGACGAGCACTGACAGTACTGCATGACTACGCATAAAAAGGTTAGTTTACTGATTGTGTTTACCCTTTTTGCTGTTTATTTCCTCAGCCATGTGTTTGAGTTGGTCTGTAAAACTGGACAGGGCCTGTGATTTGGCAAATCGGGCGAGAGAAAAATCGATCGCCTGACCAAAAAAATAAACATTGCTTTAACGGTCTTTAAAAACAAATATGCCGAACGTTTATGGTACAAATGATTACGGTTGTTCCCCACTGTTTAGTCGAGCTCACTGGTGACATCATCCATAATCATGGGCAACATGACTGCCCCACATAGCCGATGCACAAATGATGGAGAGGTGAAAAGCAAAACTGCCTGCTATCCGTGTTGTACGAATCGCCCACTGTGATTGGTCGTTATTTTCATCCTTGGCATCACAGAACGAATCAGGTTTCATGTTACACGGTTACATTACAGTTTGCAGACATCCCAAATGACCTGTAATGACATTTCCGGTTGTGTTTCTGTTTACCGTGAAATTAATGTTTGGCCATATGAAATGAACGCTTGTCACTGAATAATGCCATCTGGCCATGGGTTTAATACAGTATACAATGCCATGACAACTGGGTAAGTAGATAGGTAGGGTTTTCATTTTATTTTATTTTTAATTTGTTTTTCATTGCACTCTTTGGTGATTGATAAATACAATAATCGTAATAATGTATAATCATGGTCGAACTTCAAATCCAACTGAAGTTGGTTTTAATGATTTATTTTTTTTACAAAATGACAAAGTCAATAGACAGTAGGCAGTAAATAGGCAGTAAAATTAATTAAAAATCACAGCTCTGTCGGAATGACCATCGCTAATTTGCATAAAATAAAAAAAAACTGCTAATTTGCCTAAAATAAGTGTTTGGATTTCTTCGAAAATATGGTTAGGTAGGTTTACCGAAAACAAGCAATTTTTCTTCTTTTTGCCTTGTGCATTACATATGATTGGGGGGAAAGTTAGGGGTCTTTTGAGGCAAACATTGAGGTGAAAATGATGTTTTGTCTCCTATTTGGATATGCATGTACTAACTAAGACAACTTATTTACACATTCAGGTGATGTTTTGTGATGATCTGTGCACTTTTAGGTGGTATTTTTCAGCCACCAAATATTTATTTCAGTCAACAAGAGCGTGAAAATTATGTTTTGCATAAGGAGTGTATTAAAAGTTTCCC